TATATTCTCAGGAAAAGAAACCGTTAAACTTGCGAGGTCAGAGTGCCTTCCACCTCATTTATTAACATCCTCTCATAAGCTGCCATCTCCGGGGAAGAAGTGGAGAGGCTGAGTTGCCTATCTGTGTGGACTGGCTGGAAAATTGCCAGGCAAGGAAACACGCCTCCATCGCAGCCGCTTTTTCAGCAGGTGTCTGGGGGCTGGATGTGACGGGGGCCGTGGCATACTTCTAACAGCTTCTCAGTTTCGCAGGATTCCTCATCTGACAGTGTGGCAGCTGTGGGCCACATGTGTGACTCAGTGTGTCGGCTGGCTGCTAGCTGGGGCTCCCTAGTCCCATCCTGCGCACCACCCCCCACAGTGTGCCCCGACCCCAGCCCCCGGCCAGGGAAGTGGTAAATGGCACACCACTCTCCCAGTCAGGATTTGGGAGCCTTCAGTTCCTCAGCTAAACTTTGTGTTCTTATGCCCCCTAAATTTTAGAAAAAACTGCATGCCTCCTTTCCCATTTTAAAGTTAACTCCTGAAATGACAAATTAAGTGGAGATAGTTGAAAGGGGTGTGATATCTGACATATTACGTGGCATGAGCTTTACATAAGTTTTTGGCAAAGCTTTGGCACTACCTATTAAATGTACAGACAAGATTCACTATATAATCTAATTGGCAAAGGTTTTTATGGTCAAACCATCCAGCCAAATCAGTCTAGCTTTCTGTCAGACCCAAGTCTGATTTCATTTTTTCAACTCAAACTTAGTAGTACATACCTCATGACCACCATCTGACTTCTGAATGTGAATTCTTAACGTCTGTGGACAGACGGGAGCACGCAACTGTGCCAATAGTTTATTGACTGGGCAAAATAAATATTTCTTGCTCTGCTCTTACAGGACTCCTCTTAGAAGGAAGGCATTTTTAAATTGTCCCCTGGTAAGATTCAGGAGGGGGAGAGGTATGCATTTCTTTTCTGAAGTGCAGTATGGTGATTGTGAAAATGGGAATGGCTGCTGAGAGAACGTATAGATCACAGGCATGTTCTTGGAAAGGTCAGTTGTAAGAAGGAGTGTATTTGGAAGTTTAAGGATCTGAACGTGTATTTCCTTAAGATTACACATGCCCAAATACCCCCTGGAAAGTCATTACGTACCACAAAGATATATGTGCCCCAGCTTTAAAACCACTGCTTTTAGATACAACAGCACACTCAACCTCCATCTCTCTATGACGGAGGCCAGTTAACTAGGCTTCACTCAATATTTGTCCTCACCAGGGTTTGGCAGAGACCTGTCAGGTGGAAGGGTCAGAGCCATTGAACTCAGCCTTTCTTTCTCTTCAGTACCTGTGTTTTATTTTGTCTGGAGTTGTCATTAAAAAAAAACAAAACACTCCCCAAGCAAGCAAAGAAGAGCACTATTGCTCTCCAGAAAGCTAAGGGCATCTGGGGATAGGAACACATTTGCTCTAGAGGGTAGTGTTTCAGATGCCAGGACCAGGAACACTGAAGAGAAGTCAGGAGGAGGAACTGCTGATTCAGGATAAGAAGGAAGGTGGGTTGAAGAAGAGAGTCCCCATGTTTAATCATTTATACTGCATGAAGTAAATAGAACTTTCACAATAAACCTATAAGATAGATAGAATTACCATGAGGAAACGGAGACTCAGAGAGGTTGAGTAACTCACCCAAGGTTCCACAGCTCATTAGTGCCAGAGCAGAGATTTGAACCTAGTTCAGTCTTGGTGACCTCAGAGCCATTATATAATACTGCCTCTCTTGTCAGTAAATACCTATTACAGTGTGGGCTGTCCTTCATTCTTTCTCTTTGTTTTTAATGAAGTTTTTAATTTTAATTCCAGTATAGTTAACATGAATGGGCTGTCTTTCTAACACCATTAGTTCATTCTCACAACAGCAACAGTGACCTCAACGACAACACAGTAGAAAGAATTTCAGTAACATCTGAGTACTGATCCAATTATAAATCTAAATATGGCTGGTAGATGTTTCAGAGGAGGATGGTAAGTGGCTGAGGTAGAAGGCTGTGTTACTTCCCTTGGAGAAAGTAAAGACTTTTATAGACTATTTAAGATAAAATCTTATGAACACAGATCAGCTTATATACAAAGTGAAGAAGCATTCGGGAGATGCTGTCTCATACTAATTATATTGTGTAACCCTCCAGGAGAGACCACACACAGGGTGAGCAAAGTTCTGTTATCCATTCACTTAAGATCCTTTTTCTTCTTCATTATTGTGAAAAGCAGTTTGCTAGTTAATTATGAAAACGAATATGCTGTATTTGAAGATGCCAGTTGTGGGAAAATAATTCTCTCCCCTACCATTTCTCTTTTTCCCTCCCTCTCTCCTTCCCTCCCCTTCCCCACTCCCCCTCCTCTCTCCCGCCCTCCCCCCTCCCCTACTAGGCTGTAAAGTCTGTGAGGGCAACGACTGTGTCCATCATTCATTGTTGTGCCTAGCATCATAGTAGTCAATAAATGTTTAGCAAATGAAAGAATCAGTGATTCTCCAGAATTCCAAGATCTCATGCTTTTAAACCATGAGATGAACTTTATCAGTCTCAAGAACAGATCTCTTTGAGGGTCATGAGAAAAGATTTTATCAATCAGGACTTCTGATCTTTTCCCCGAGCCAACTCTATAGGTCTTAGAGTAGAGAACCTGGGAACTAGGAAAACACTTAATTTATTCTCAATTTTATTATACTCAGTTTGGGGAGGAAGGGTTGTTGATCTTTTTGTGAATATGATGAAAATTATGGCCTTTCTCAAACAAAGGAACACACACACAAAATTTTGTGTACAATTTAAGTAGGTTCATGAACCCTTTAAACTGTGCATCTCAAGAATGCTGAAAAGTGAACTGCAGCTTAAGGAAAGGGCACAGTCATCATGCTGGACCTCCCGTATTTGGAGGGAAATTGACAAGAGAACAATAGAGCTTGCTTTGGATATAATACCAAAGGGGAGAATATGGCGCCAATTCCAACTGTGCCTTGATTCTGGTGAGACACTTTCATAAAAGACCCTTTGTTCCCTTTGGGACAGATGCCACCAAACACTGCTTTTTTAGTGACAGTACACTGTCCAGCCCTTCCCAGCATGCACCCTTCATCCTGTGATTGGACATCAGGCAGGAAGAGGGAATGGAAGTAGGGCAGAGCTTTGGATCGTGAAGGTTGCTGAGTTGGTTGTTTTGGCTCCTAGAGCACACTTCCATTCATTTCAGGCTCTGTGTCTTGAAATGTTTTCGCCTGTAGCAGAAGTACTACAAGTCTATTTCCTAGGATATTTTCCCTTAAAGTCTATCCCAAATGGATGCAAAAAAAGCAGATTTTATATAGACAGAGATAATCCCTTGTGAGATAAAAAATTTCTCTGTCATAGCTGGGAGCTGATGCACCCCAGGCCTTCCCTCTTCTCCAGCTCCTGTCTCTACCAGAGGAAGGAGAGTTTTCCTCCCTTCCAAACACCCCCACTTGATTACTTCAGACTTTATCCAGCCAGAACTCATCCTTGAGTTTTAAGGACACAGACCTTACTGGTGACTGAGGATTTTCTGTCTCAGCTTTACTTTCTTCATCTGCAAAGTGGGGATAACAACACCAGTCCCTACATCCTGCGATTGTGGTGAGGAGCAGTAGAAAACGGAGCACTCAGCTCAGTGTCCCCAGCACACAGTAGGCACTTGATCAAGTTGGCTCTTACTTAACTTTTAAGGACAGTGGCCTCTAGAAGTGGAGGAGAAGAAACTGGGCAAGTTCGCTACTTTTGTCCTTCTCAGTGTGCTCGCTTCTGCCCCTTTCCCTGTCTGGCCCTGCCTTTTCCCCACCCCAATCCCTGGATCAGCAGGACCAAGCCAGGGAGGCTCTAACCTTAGGCACCCGTGGTCCTGGCCATGCCCCTGGGACTCATAGCTCACGTTTTGGCCACTGAAATATCACTGACGTTTTGGACGCCCTGGCCAGGGCAATCATGACTGACTATTCCTTTCAGCTCCCTCCTTCCCTCCCTTCCTCTTGCTTTGAGTTCTCCCTTTTTGAAAACAACAATTTATTGAACACTTCTCTACTAGTAACACTAACACTTCTCTACTAATCCTAGTGCTGGTGCTGATAAACAGTGTTGCTACGTTTTTACATTCTAGTTGGAGGTAGAGGGGAGAGTAAATAGCAGACAATGTATAGGATGTAATAAGGACAATTAATGAAATAAAATGGAGAATAATCAGGGAATCTTACTTAGATAGAATACCTTCTCTAAAGAGGTGACATTTGAATCCTGTGGCTGTCCTGGGCAGGAATTGAAACCTTGGCTTGATTCCAAGTGAGAAGCTCTGTTGGGAGTGCCAAGCGGTAGTTTCTCCCGTTTCTCTCTCCTAACGAAAGAGGGTTTCAGGCTACGCGGAAGTCAAACTCCTGATTTTTACCAGCTCTTTATTTTGTCAAGTAAGCTTAAAAAATATTAGGACCCTCGGGGCGCCTGGGTGGCTCAGATGGTTAAACGTCTGCCTTCGGCTCAGGGTCCTGGGATTGAGTCCCGCATCGGGCTCCCTGCTCCTTGGGAGCCTGCTTCTTCCTCTGCTTCTCTCTCTCTCTCTCTCTCCCTCTGTCTCTCATGAATAAATAAATAAAATCTTAAAAAAAAAAAGAATTGTTATTAAAAAAAAAAATTAGGACCTTCACCTGTGCCTTTATTAGATACTCACTTACCATGTACCAGGCATTGTACATTTTACATGTATCCTCTGATTTAATTCTCCAGTGACCCAAGGAAGTATATCTTATTATCAAAATTATCCCTGGAGTCAAAGAAACCAGAACTTAGAGAAGCTCAGTAACTTGCCCATGGCCAATGGGCCAACAGAGGTAGGGTTAGGACCGGGATCCGGGTAGGTCTGAGAACAGAGCCTGTGTCTTCAGCCAGTAGACTAGGCTGCTCCCTTCTTTGATGTCTTAACTCACCTGGTTCTCCTTTCCTCTGCAGCGGTGCCAGTGAAGAAGAGGACACATGAAGGCCTGCCATCCCCCGTGGAAACTCATCCCTTCCCCCTGTGTGTATGTGACGGCGTGTATGTAGCGGCTTCTGAGTTCTGTGAAAGCTGCCCAGCAACAAACATACTTCTACCGGACACATCCCCAGATCCACAGCAGGCACATATCTCTCCAATGACCAATTTTATTGTTACTGACTGTGCTTTTCATTCTCTTGTCGTGGTAGCTCAAGAAAAAGTGCCCCTATGATCAACCAGGAGCAGTTAATTAAGAAGCATCCTTCAGGTAGACCCTCAATGGCTGCTTTGAACTTACTCAGGAAAGCCAGCCCCCATGATATTGTATACCCAAATAGCATCGCTTTATCTGGAAGGATCTGGAATAATCCTGAAGGGCAGTCAGAATTTTTTCCCTACCTGCTAATAAAACCCCACTTTATTTATATTGCAGCATGAAATAGTGGGGGGCACAGTAGGGCTTTGTAGATAGTCTCTAAAAGTCCAATTATACATTTGTGAAAATGTGGCTCCACGAAGTAAGATGGGTGGCGTGAAGATGGGGTTGGAGAAAGAGTTAAAAGTTTGAAATACAGGGATATTTTTAGTACATGAGGTTATCCAGCACTTCAAATCCATAATTCAGTGCTGTGGAAATGAAAAAAATGATTGAAGAGGTAGAAAGGAAATGACTTTTAAAAAAAAAGGACCAAAGAGATCTGATTAAAAGTTGAAATCAGTATTTCTGAACTCAAATTGCCTGAGTTTCCAAAATAGTCACTAAAGGATCTGATGGAACCTGAATTATTTGGGTGATTTCTGCCGGTTTTCTGTGTCTTGTCACAACATGAAGGCTGGGATGTGTATTACCAAGTGGGAATTTTCAGTGTAGGTTTTTGTCACCCCCGCTCCAGCCCCCTTGGCCTCATTTGGCTTAAAGGCAGTGTAGAGAGAGTTCTCGTCACTCTGGTGTGCTGAATCAAGCCCTGTCTCCCAGCAGGTACACCCTCCTTTCCCTCCAGCTGGAACCCCTCTTCCCGTGGCACCCTGCCACAGGCCTTCAGCCCCGCCCCCACACCCAGGTTCTTCCTTCTCAAGTACCCTGAGCAGAGACAAGCCACGGTTGGACTTCCAACCTTTCCCCCTTGCCAAGTCACATTTCCTTACAACCAAGTTTTCTCCTCCCAAGTAAGCAGTGATTACCAGGGAATACCAACCTGCAAGTTAAAAAGCCTGCCTTTTCTGAAACATCAGTTTTACTGAAATGGTTTGGAGTCAGGGGATGACCTTTTTTGATAAAACAGCTACATTATGAAATAGAGTGTTCATACACACAGTTAAGATAAAGTGGGACACTTCACAGGGAATGCTTATTTGCAAGTGGGGTACGTGGTCCCTCTCCTCTGCCTTTAGTGGTATTTTGGTGTTCACTTCCGAGAAGTACAATTGGAACTGTATCCAAGCAGCTGACTCGGGGCCTAGACCTCTAGTCACCTCTGAAGCAAAACTGAAGGCACCTGCACTGGGAGAAGTCCCTCTTCCAGCCTGCCTGCCTGTGACCTGTGTACTTGGCACAGAGCGTTAGAGCCAGCTGGTGTGTGTGTGTTTGCAGGATGGTTTTGAGGCAGAAACAGTACTTACTGTAGGAATCCTATTTATGTCATTGTTCAATCCTGTGCATGCTATAAAATTATTTCTTTCAGGCCAGGAAGCTACCAGGCGTATATGCTTCTGGGTTAAGATTGTCCTAGCTCACTAAATATGTTAGGATGTTGGGACTGAGAGTACTTTGGGCTGTTAAAAAAAAAAAAGTATTTTTCTCTTAAACTGGTGGCCAACAAATGGCTAAGACAATTTCGGTGCTTTACCTATCCTCCTGCAAAGACTGGAGAATTTGGCATACCACTAATTACAACCCCTAACCGTATCCCACAGAACTGCCCATAAAGAAGGACAAGTGGCCACTCTTATAAGAGTTTAAAAGCCAGAAGATGAAGAAGATTTTAGGATCTGGATGCTTGTGTTTATCTTTCCCCAATAATTATTGTTTCATCTCTAAATAGCAGACTTATCTTCACAATGGATAGACCATTGGCTCCTCCCTACCTGATTGTATGTTATTACTTAAAATCAGTATTTGGGAAACCCAAGCATTTATGCAGCGGATATGAACAGAAATATAAAAATACATGCCAGCTTGTCTCATTATATTATCATATCTCTGTAATTCTCAAGGAAAGCCCTTTTGCTTTTACTTAAGATTTCAGATTGGCTTTATGGGCTCCTGCTGTCTTCAGCACCTGATAAAACTTTAAGCAGGGAAGCATTAAACACAGAGCAGCAGCTTCTGCCCAGGCTCCGGAGTCCCTGCCAACAGCATTTCTCAGTGTAACAACTAGGGTGCTTCCTGCAGTAGCACCAGCTTCCCCCAGAGCTGGAGGATGTGGCTCGGCCTTAAGCTCCTGCCAGGTGAGTAAGTTAGAGTGCTCAGCAGTGTGTGGTGACTGGGTGCAGGCTCTAGGTTTGCAGAAACCCCCAGGGAGAAGTCATCAAGGGCGGCACATAATGAATGTCTCCAGAATGAATTGGGTCCTCACAGCAGTCCCTGGCTACCTTCCAGATTTGGGTTCTCTGGAGGCTGAGAGTGGGTTGGTCCTTTGATTTGATGTCCTGAAATTCAGGGCAGTTCCAAGAGGTTCTCTTAGGAGTCTCAGCTCTGACAGCTCAGGAGGGGAAATTGGCCTGTATTGAGGACCAGCTGTGAGCCAGGCCCTGTAGTTGGCCCCCATTTGTCAGATGATAGAACGGATGTGGAGTAATAGAGCCCCTTGCCTTGAGTTACACAGCTAGGAAATATTGGAGCTCTTCCTAACTTTGTGGTGGTCTGTGGTATATCTACAGTACAGAGGGAGGAAAAGGCTTCCGGTTCCCCCACTGCAGTCTGACTATCCCACTTTATGGATTCTTTTTCAAAGTTACATTTCATGGCTACCATTTGGGCTCAGAAATGGCATTGAGGTGGCCTCACTCTTCTACCTTAGCAGGTTTGTGAAGTGCACATTGCTAACTTGAACCTGCCCCCAGGAGTTGGGGGGGGGGGACCTTTCCTTTTTGGTGCCATCCCCCATAAATAAACTATCTCTAGGCCTTCAAGAGTATAGAAGTTCTAAGAAATAGTAAAAGTGGAAGGTGTTCTGCTCTAAGTTTATCTGAAAATGTCTGGTGCTGCAATCCTGCAGAAAAGGAAATCTTCATATTTGAGCCCAGCCAGTGCTGTGCTCTGTGAGGCTGTGTTAACTCAGAGTCCAGTGAATCTGTGTATATGTGCGCACGTGCACACACGATATGCGTGCATCTGTATATACACACGTAAATATATGCGCACACACACGCAATTTAAGAACTAAGGGGAATTCAGAACAGCCCCTCATTACCTTGCATACCCCTGCAGGGTTTCTGATCACAAGCGTCACCAGATGGAGCTTCCGTGCTTGCTTACAAGGTGCTTACGAGAAGAACAGCTCTTTGGCGAGGGTTGTCAGCTCCTAAAGCACTGAGCCAACATGGCACCCCTGAAGGGACTTCCCAGGCTGCTCCAAGATGTCTAACGGTTTGGGTGACCCGGGGATCTGTCCACTCCGGTCAGGCCTGAGGGCACAGCTGCTGAGTTTATGACTTGTGGTTGTGGCAGGGCATAGGAAGCCCTCTCCCCCACCTAGAAAATGTTCCCTTTCCAATACTTGAAATTCCTTACTCACATAATGGCCACTCAGTACATGCTTTGTAATAAGAAAATCGGTTGCATGTTCACTGTGTGCCTAGCACATCTGGAAGTTTCTATTTAAAACACAAATCTCATTTTGGATGAACTCGGCTCAGCCTTAGAAGAGAAAGAAGGTCCATAGGGGAGAGTTGAGATCTCATTAGTATTGCCTCTACCCAGCAGTGTTCTAAAGCCCCCACCCCAGCCCATTCCAAGACCCAGAGGCCCAGGGGATCTGCCTGGTAGAAGAGTAGCATTCGGAACTGAGAACACACCAGAAACAGCAGAGCAAATGCCAGAGCAGGAAAAGGAAAACGAATTAAGACACTTGTGGGTATACTGGTGCAAAAGTTGCCACAGAGCCCATGCTGGGCTTGATATGACCTTGAGGGGACAGTAGATTTATATTAACGGGAGTCAAACCTGACCAGTCTTTGTACAGTGACAGGCCACACTGCATGGGGTGGGGTGGGGGGGCAGCCGACGAACCCTTTTTCGTCCTCTGCCTGTTTTCCCATGCACAGTCACATTCCCTTCTTAGTCACCTTCTTCTTTCACCCTTCACATTAAACAAGGGGACACTCGATCTTTCAAGGGAATTACACATTTGAGTTAATGTTTCAGTATATCATTTTCATACTGTAAATTATTTTGTAAGAGAGATTTACTGCTATCCCAGGATGTTTGGACTCAGCGCCCCTGTGCATTTGGAAATCAATAAACTATTACTGGAAATACCATTTGTCTCTGAGAGTTGTGCACAAAAGACCCTGCTAGGTGTAAATATTCATGATGATCTTCACTCTTAACTGTGGTAAAGCTGGAGATGATGGTGTTTGGTTATTAGATACAGGATGCTCATTTACTCCTGACTTCTCTGGAGCGACTTAGGAGATCTCTGGGAAGGGGCACACGAGCACATGTAATGTCATCATTATTTAGAGATATGTTTTTGCCTCAAAGTAAAACAGTCTGTGCCTAGCTTAAAGTTTCTGAGCAAAGTTACATTATAACCTGAAGAATACTTGATCCTGAATGATGTTTTCAAATAACATTAAAGCTTTACCATTTGGATTAACCAGATTTTAATTTTTATCATATTTTCTAGAAATAAAAACTCTTTGTAGAGCAAATTACAGGTAGGCCAGCAAAATCATCTTGGTGGAATGTTAGAACTACCCATTTGCTATAATTGATACAGAGGTAGAATCAAGCTGTCAATGAAGTGGTTCTGGTCCAGTTTGTCATACGAGGACCAGAGGCTGCACTGAAACCAACAGTCCTATACACAGAGGCAAAATGCAAACACCCAACATAGTCGATGATGCTGTGTGAGCCAGAAGGCACAAGTCCTGCCTAAAGGCCTTGAAATTCACTGCTTAAAAGCCTACCCTGCCCCTCCCCCGACCCCCCCAGCAGGTGTGTCTGGAGGAGCTGTGGTTTAGGAACCCTGCTCTAAATTTCCTTTGAACAAATCTGTCTCCATCAGACCTCGTTAGTTAGCCAGGGGGACTGTGTGAACTTCAGAGAAATTGTCCAAGATGAGCTGAGTCCATTGCTGAAGATCAGCCAATGAGGCATACGGATAGAGCCGGGACAGCAGACTTTCTGTCTCGTGGAGCGATCATTAGGCCCTCCTTCCTCCCTCCCCAGTGGCCGAGGCCACTTCTGCCTGGTGGGGTGGGATTGCCAAGCCCTGGGGCACTGGGGAGTCTCAGTGTTTTAACAAACCACAATGTGTTTGGAGGTTTTCTTCCTTACTACCTGGTGCCAGTATCTCAACACCACATCCCATTGCCCCAGGCCTTTCACATTTTATTGTCTTCCCCTCTGAGAGCTACAGCTCTCTATTTTGTTTCATTGATCTTTGCCTGGTCCAACTTACAGGTGGCCCCATTTCCTTTATACTCCTAAAAGGGTGAAATTGCAGCTTGTCTGGAATATCTCCTGGACTTAACAAGGCATCAGAGGTACCTACACCCAGCACAACCAGAGAAGAAAATGTCACAGAAAAAAACAACAGAGGGCGCCTGGGTGGCTCGGTTGGTTAAGCAACTGCCTTCGGCTCAGGTCATGATCCTGGAGTCCCGGGATTGAGTCCCACATCGGGCTTCCTGCTCAGCAGGGAGTCTGCTTCTCCCTCTGACCCTCTTCCCTCATGCTTTCTATCTCTCATTCTCTCTCTCTCTCAAATAAATTCTTTAAAAAAAAAAGAAAGAAAAAAAAGAAAAAAACAACAGAAAGACTGCTCTAAGCCCGTAACTGGCCGCCCTGGGTATGTATCTGTACTTGCTAAATACTGCAATCTCCAGGTTTAAATCCTTTTGTTAATAATTCTAGCTACCATTTAGGGAGCTCTTTCTCTGGGCCAGGCCCCTGGCCCAGTTGCTTTGCACGTTATCTTACTCAATTCTCGGAGCCCAGATAATACCATCTCCTATTTTATTGCACAGGAATCAGATTTAGAGAGTTGAATACTCTGCCCAAGGTCACATGCTAAGAAACGGGAAGCCAGGATTTAAATCTGGCTCTTCACAGGCCTTGCAACCCCTGCTCTTAATCTCTCCTTCCG